GAGGTAGATACACTCCTTGGAGAGAACAATCATGGGAGAAAGAAGGGCTGCTTATGCACAGGGAGACAGCTCAAGGGGCAGGAGTGTATGGAGGGAGGGACACTGGGAAGAGGTTACTATGGGGAGGAAGTGGGAGGGGAGCTGTTGCATTGTGGTAAACTGTGGTCAATGACATGAGACAAAGTATGTGTGAACAGCTGTATGGAAAGTGAATTTGCTCTGTAAATCTTCACCCAAATCACAATAAAAACAAAAAAGATGTCCCCCCCCAAAAGAAAGATTAGATAGGAAACTTAGGAACAGTGAGTTTGTGTTAATAGAGGAAGAACAATTTGGAAAAGAAGGGTGAGAATTGTTACACAATTTAAAGTAATCAATATCATCAAATTGTGCATATAGAAATTGTTGAATTAGTGTATGTTCTGCTGTGTATATTCTCAACAACAAAAATAAATTATAAAATAGAAAAAAAAAAGGAAAGTGGGAGGGGAGCTATTGCATTGTGGTAAACTGTGGTCAATGACATGAGACAAAGTATATGTGAACTACTTACTGTATGGAAAGTGAATTTGCTCTGTAAATCTTCACCCAAATCACAATCAAAAAAAAAATTAAAAAAAAAAAAAACAACTTGCCAGCAGCCATCTAATGTGCAACTATTGGTCTCTCCTATCTGGAGCCAATTAGAGTGAAGACAATCAAAGATATAAAGAATCAATTAGTCCAAAGGACTACTGGACCATGTGAACCCCAGCTTCCATGACTCTGAGACCAGAAGAACTAGATGATACCTGGCTAACACTGTTGACTGCTCTGAAAGGGATCACAATAAAAGGTCCCAGACAGAGTGAAGGAAAATGTGGAACAAAACTCAAAATCATAAATAAATAATAATAATAATAATAAAAGATGAAACTTACTGGTCTGAGACAGAGTAGTGGAACCACTGACATGATGGACCTCAGACATTCTTCAAGCTGGGGATTGAACTCTTCCCCCCAATGCTCAACTTTCAGCCAAATGATTAACAAATTATATAAGGCAAAGAATAAAAGCAGGAAGATATGCACTCATTGAAAAATCAGTCATATGAGATCAAAAGGCAGCCTTTTTGGATAGCACATTGGGTGCTTCAGTAAAAACTTCAGTAAAAAAAAAAAAAAAAAAAAAAAAAACCTCTACATTCATTTTCTGAGTAATAACTGGTGATGCTATTTACATCATTCTATTTGGATTTTTTTTTTTTCTTCTGAAGACCTTACCTAGTATAGGTTCACCGTAAAGCTCATTTCAGAAAAAGCCAAATCCACTGCCATGGAGTGGATTCTGACTCATAGTGACCCTATAGGAAGAATAGAACTCCCCGTAGGGTTTCCAAGGCTGTAAATCTTTATGGAAGCAGACTGTATCATCTTTCTCCAGCAGAGTGGTTGGTGAGTTCGAACCCGCTGACTTCTGGGTTAACAGCTGAATGCTTTAACCACTGCACCACTAGAGCACCTGTTAAAGCTCATTTCAAAAAAAAAAAAAAAACAACTCATTGCCCTGAGTCAGATCCGACTCACAGCGACCCCTACTTGGGTTTCCCAGGTGGTATTACTAGGGAAGTAGATCTCTCAACCTTCCTGCCGAGGAGTGGCTGGTGGTCCAAACTTCTGGTTAGCAGTCAAATGTCTTAGGCACTACGCTACTAGAGCTTCTTTAACTTTTATATTCACTAATGCAAACTTGGGAGCTCTGGTAGTGTAGTGCCTAAAGCATTTGATTCCTAACCAGAAGGCTGGCGGTTCAAACCCACCAGCCACTCCTCGGAAAGAAGATGGGGCAATCTACTTCCTAGTGATACTGTCTCGGAATCGCAAGGAGGGGTCGCTATGAGTCAGGTCTGACTCGACGGCACACAACAACAACAACAATGCAAACTTAAGATTTTTCTAATCATATACAGTAATACAGGACAGAAGGGACCATTCTCTGAAGAAGGAAATCATGCTTGGTAAAGTCGAGGGTCAATGAAAAAGGGGAAGGCCCTCAACAAGATGGATTGACACAGTGCTGCATGGATGGCCTCAGGTATAGCAGGAATCATGAGGCTGGCACAGGACCGGATAGTGTTTTGTTCTGTTGTATGTAAGGTAACTATGAGTCAGAGAAGACTTGATGGCACCTAACAACAACACATCATAATAAAATAATCTTATGCTAGGAAAGGACATTTTGAAATCCTCTAGGTCAAATTACTCATCCAAACTAAAAATGAAGAACTTGACTCTTAAGAAAATTAAATGAGTGTTCCAAAATTACAAAAATAGTTCTGTAATTTTTTCTAAGTATACCAAATTATCTACCTTTTCTGAATTTCATTCTCATTAATGAGGCATTTTATTGTCCAAAATAGTATCACGAAATTACATAAATGTTGCTTTCCAATCACAGGAAGGGTCTCTTGTGTTCTCTTCTTGGCCACCAATCAGGAACCTTTATTGGAAGCTTGTTTCTGATTGGTGAAAGCTGTAACAGTAGAATGCCAAGGAGTCAACAAAAAAAACATAGCAACAACTGAGTTTGCTGTCTCACTACCCTCAGCCTAGGCCATCCTGGACTCTTTCATCCCAAATGAGGTGGCCTCTACATTTTATATGAAGGCTCTGATTTACCATTCGTCTGTGATCCATCTTATAACATGGCGATCCGATATAGATGGGAAGATGAAACTGAGCAACAGAACTAAAAAAAAGTATATTCCCAGGTAAAATAGACAAATGTTTTAATTTGATGAGCTTCAGTTACAAGGCAACAGGAAGATACCGGTGCACAAGTACTGAATCTATAAGCAATGTCACCAATTCCCACTAGTCGCAGTAGTTGGGGAGGGTGATAATACCCAATGCAGCACATGAACTCACAGCCAGAGAGGACTTTCAAACAAGTCTCAGCATTAATTTAATGCTATGGAAACAGGCATAGAGGATGGCTATAGACCTCACATAGCTTTGGAGAGTCCTGGCTTTCTAGAAAAGACTATTTGTATCCCAAAGCTGGTAGCTCACAGTTCCTATCCTAGACCATGAAGAGGTATCCATTTTATAATGAGTGCCAAGTTAGAGTGGAGTTACTTTTCACACTTCTCTGGAGGAAGATATTTCTAACCATCTTATATTTTATTCTTGTTTACAGAATACATATTGTGGAAACAGGATGAAGTTGACAAGTGAAAAGTTGCCCACAAACCCATTATATACCTCTATCATAACCCAGTATGCTCTTAAGAACCAAAAATGGAGAAAGGAAAAACTTGGTACAAATTCTTATATTTAATCTTCCTTTGGAAAATATTTTCACCCAAAGTTAATTATGTATGCTAGAGCAAATGAGATAAGAAATATGAATCTTATTGCTGTCAAGGCAGTAGTTAATTTTTCAGTCCTTGACAGTTTTCTTACAAGAATCTATGAAATTACTACTTTTTTATCTGGTCAGAAATTATCAATGAAGAGGTTTTACAATTAGATTCTGACCCTATTTTACTTTTGGCACCTAAGGACAGCCTTCTTGAAAAGAGACACCAGATGTCACCTTTATTAATGAGAACAGTACCATGCTTTACTATTTTTCCATAGAAGCCTTTTAAAAACTACATTGAGGGTGGTTAAGTCAGTATAAGGTAGCTCTCATTAAGGCTAAAACTAAGAATTTAACTAACTACAGGTCAGCTTTGCCCACAGAAAAACCTATGCTTAGATTTCAACTCATTGCTCAGGTTCTTGCCTGGCAGCAAACAGGGTTACTTTGAAAACTGATGAGCAAAGATTTCTTTATTATACAAGGCAAAGTGGTAGGTACTGTGAAGAATGTAACATGTAAGAAGTTAGCTATATTCTCAAGGAATTTACATTTTAATTTAAAGGCAACAACTAATAGCACAAGGATTATGTGATAGGCACCAAGTGAATGACAGCAGACAATATTTGCTATAGGAAATTTTAAAGGAAGAGAGATCATTGTAGTTTAACAAAAGTTTAATTAAATGGTATAGATTAGGTTGGACTTTGAAGATTAGTAGGAAGAAATTCTAAGTCAAGGAAATAGTATGAGCAAAGACATGGAGACAAGATACATTCAGAAAAGATGAATACTCAAGTGTAGGTGGAATAAAATTTTTTACTGGTGCCAAAAGTCCTCACACCTTCTGAAGAAAACACTTCCATAGATTTCTCTGGGGGTTCAGAAGACTTATTTGAAAATGTTTCCCTCACCTTGGTGGCAGACCTTGAACTTATCTAGTCTAATGCCTTTTCCTTGAGCTAAGAAGGCCAGTTTTAGGAAGGAAACTAATATTAACAGAGTCAGATGAATTTTATGTAATTTATTATTTCAAGAAGGAACATTCATATTGTATGGTTAAATGTGGAATTACTTTGCCTGTTTTAAAATCAGATCATTATACCCATGCTAATTTGGTGGATAAGGCATTGCAGATCTTGAAGGAAAGAATAAGAAGAGGGGATTCTCTGGCATATTTCCTACGAGGTCAACTCTATTTTGAAGAGGTATCATTTCTTTGTTTTCATTTCCTATAATGCCGTTGTGAGGTCCTCATAGCAAATTTTCCTTACGTTGTTAAACAAGGGAAATTCTGTCAAATTACATAGATTATGGTTGTAGCTTTAAGTATGATATGCTGGTACCAGTGTAAGGAGATGTCTGACATTTCTTATTAGAAGTTATTCTAATGAATGCTGTTTATTGGAATAATTTTGCTATAAGGTACATTTTCACATTATAAAGTAGAAATCCAAGTTTTTAGAGTTTTTTGTTCAAAATGTTTAATATTATTTGTAAAATATTTCATCTTAATAATAATTGAAGACCCTGATACTTATCTAGAACTGAAAGTAATTTACATGTTCCACAGTGAGAAGGAGCTCTGGTGGCACCATGCTTAAAGTATTTGACTGCTAACCAGAAGGTTGACAGTTCAAACCCACCAGGCACTCCATGGAAGGAAGATAGGGCAATCTACTCTCATATAGATTAACTGCCTTGGAAACCCAATGGGAAGAAAAACTAATAAATAAATAACCCAATGGGATTCACTATGAGTTGGAATCAACTCAATGTCAGTGGGTTTAGTTGTTTGGTTTATACACAGTGAGAAAGGAATTGCCCTCTTTTAATCTGTATGATGCTGGGATGTCCTGAGAAGTAGGTCTAGCAGGAACTATGCAAGCTATCATCCCAACTTTGGTAACAGAGCTTCAAATCTTCATTGAACTCCAAAGGAAGATCTGAAAAGGGACAAGTATCCCCAGTCTTTCACCATCCATAGAACATTTGGGCAGCTATTCACCTCTATCCCACTTATACTCTAACCTTTGATGGCTCATTCATTTATTTTGGCAACAAGTATTTGTTGAGGACTTGTCACGCTCCCATCACTATGAAGATAGCATGTTGTTGTTGTTATGTGCCATCGAGTCAGACCTGATTCATAGCGACCCCTCCTTGGGTTTCTGAGGCAGTATCACTATGGAAGTAGATTGCCCCATCTTCCTTCTGAGGAGTGGCTGGTGGGTTTGAACCGCCAGCCTTCTGGTTAACAGTCAAGTGCCTTAGACACTATGCTACCAGAGCTCCCTGAAGATAGCATAGCATAGTGCTTAAGAGCATGACCTCTTATTTTGAGTGTTTTAGTCCTCTAATGCTGCTTTAGTTAGTATGACTTTAACAAAAGGAGTTTATTCTCTTACAATTTAGGAAGCTAGAAGTCCAAGTTCAAAGTACCAGCTCTAGGGACTGGGTGAAAGTCCCTCAACCTTAGGTTTTAGCTTTACCTCTCACTCCCAGCCCACTGAAACTGGAGGCTTCTCATAACTCAGACAGCTGCTGGGTGCTGAGGCTGATAAACCCAAGGTCGACAAAATAAAATGGCATTGTTCCAAGATTGTCAAGCAACCTGGCAGATCACTAGTTCAAGTCCAGAAATAGTTCCAAGACTGGCGGACAACATGGCAGGTTGCTGATCAATAACTTGGCTACGTGCAGGGTAATGCCAAAAGTTAGAGATCTTCCTCAAAGCTGCTTCTTATATATGGGAAGCAGACTGCATCCCTAAAGCAGCTACTCAGCTGTTCACAGTAGATTCTACCAGGGAGTTGATTACCTGTCTCATCATAGGGAATAACTACATCAAGCTGCCCAGCCATTCAAAACTAGGCTCAGTCAAGTTGACACACAATCTTAACTACCACTTAAGCATGAGTTTAAATATGGCTCTATAGCTTGTTAACTGTGTATCCTTGGGCATAAATATTTCTTGGTGCCTCAGTTTCCTCATCCAAAAAAAAGAAAATAATAATATGTGTCTCAGAGATATTATGAAGATTAATGTGTGAATTGCAGGGTCTGGCAACTAAACAACTAAAGAACAACCACACACACAAAAAAAAGCACTGACATTGAGTTAATTCCAATTCATAGCTACCCTATATATAGGACAGAGTAGAACTGCCCCCACAGGATTTTCAAGACCATAAATTTTTACAGAAGACTCATCTTACTCCCACAGAGTGGCTGGTGGTTTGAACCACTGACTTTTGGTTAGCTGCTAAATGCTTTAGGCAACTAATAAGTGCTATATAATTGTTTGCTATTATGAAAATATATTTTCAGTGCCTAGTATAAGAATCTATATATAGTAATGAGGTAATTAGAATGATCCCCATTTCATAAAGCTTACAGTCTAGTGGGAGGAACAAAATAGATTAATATATAATTATAAATAAAGTACTAGGAAAGCAATGAACTGAGTGTTGTGATAGAGAATAACTTAAAGGTAGGGTAGAAAAGCCTATTGTAGAAACCAAAACTTGAAGAAAAGGAAATGAGCAATGCAAACAGTCAAGTGGAGGAGCATTCCAGGTAAAGGGAACAGCAAATGCAAAGTTTCAGAATGAAAAAGGGCTATGTGACCTCTAGAAAGTAAAGGAGATCAATGTGGTAAAAAAGCAGGGCGGAGAATGACTCTAGATGTATTATGTTTAAAATGTAGTAGGAATCCATTTAATTGTTTGACTATATGATGGACAAATTAAAGGGCAAGAATGGAAACAAGATCTCTTTAGGTTGCCATACTAGTTTAGTCAAGAAAGAATGGCCTTGACCACAGTGGTGGCAGTGGAGCTGGGTACTGGGTTTCTTTAAAATGGTGATGAAATAATGACGTCATAGACTGAAAAATAGAGAAGTAGGAAGAAATGAGTTTTGAGGGGAAGACCAAGAGTTCAGTTTTTGGCCATATTAGGTTTGAGATGCCTATTAGCCATCTAAGTAGACATGTTTCAAAGTGGAAACTTATTATGTAAGAGGGAGCCCTGGTAGCATAGTGCCTAAGGCACTTGAATGCTAACCAGAAGGCTGGCGGTTCAAACCCACCAGCCACTCGTCGGAAGGAAGATGGGGCAGTCTACTTCCGTAGTGATACTGCCTCGGAAACCCAAGGAGGGGATCGCTATGAGTCCGGTCTGACTCGACAGCACATAATAACAACAACAACAGATCTCAAAGGAGAAGTTTGAGTTGAAGGTATGTATTTGAGATTTGTCAGCATGCATGTGGTATTTAAGAAGCTCTGGTGGTGCAGTGCTTAAGGCATTCGGCTGCTAGCAAAAAGATTGGCAGTTAGAACCCACCAGCCACTCCATGGAGAAAGATGAAACAGTCTGTTTCTGTAAAGATTTATAGCCTTGGGAACCCTATGGGGCAGTTCTACTCTGTCCTATAGGGTTGCTATGACTCAGAATTGACTCAATGGCAGCAGCTTTTTATATGGTATTTTAAATTATGAAAACTAAGAGGATTTCCTTTCTCTCTAACTTTTCCAGTGCTCTCACAATTAGGCAAACATTGTCCAGAAGAAATGAGTTTTAAAAACTCATTCATTTAGTCATTAATTCATAATATACTGTCTCATTGTTACATGTTTACTTAAATAGATTTTTGTTGGTATTTTGATGCAGTTTTGATTAATATTTATCACTCTGTTGAAAAGAGCAATTCATTTGTTTTTGTGTTTTCCAAAAGTTATATTTCTCTAGTCTGTTCTTTCTAGGAATGACAATCCAACTCAGTGAACAACTTTCTTTCCACCATTACAAGTCACGTGTTCTTTAGCGTAAGACATTTCCATGATGGGTTAAGATATAAACCTCATATTAGTCCCTTACACCTTAGCATATTTGTTTTCAGTCTCTTCTAACTGTTTAGGAGCCTTACAAAAATAACATATGATGCATCGATTTTGATAGGAAGTATGGGAGGAAGATAATTATAGGGAATCACATGTTTGTTTTTCCATGTTTTCTCCCTAGCCAGAAAAGGACAAAGCTAAAGAACATGACACATAAATTTCCTAATGTTCACATTTTCTCTGAGTCTTTGGCCCCCACTCTGGAGTTTCTTAGACTTCAGCTGTGGTGGGTGATAAGGCAAGCTAGATTGAGCAGAAAAAGGGCTGGGCTATCACTTTGGGAGAGTTCGGCAAAAGCCAAGAGTATGAGAGAGGAAAGCCTAAGAGAGTCTCACCAGAGTCCTCATAATCACTCTCTTCAGTTGCCATATTTGTTGTTGTCGTTGTTGTTATGTGCCGTCGAGTCAAACCCAACTCATAGCGACCCCTCCTTGGGTTTCCGAGGCAGTATCACTTCAGAAGTAGGATTGCCCAACCTTCCTTCCGAGGAATGGCTGGGGGGTTTGAACCGCCAGCCGTCTGGTTTGCAGGCAAGTGTCTTAGCCACTATGCTACCAGAGCTCCCATATTTAGATTGATTTAATTGATGTTCTGCTGTTTGACTGTTGTCAATGACTTACTTGCAAATTCCATAAAGTTGATATTGTCTGTCATTTTTTTATGTACTACTAACTCACATTTAGATGGGAATTAAATATTTGGTTGGGATTAGCTCAAAATCATCATAAAAATAATATTTTCTGGGGGTTTATAGGGATGGTATGAAGAAGCATTAGAACAGTTTGAAGAAATCAAGGAGAAGGATCATCAAGCAATTTACCAGCTAGGAGTAATGTATTATGATGGGCTGGGGATACTTGCAAATGCTGTAAGTTATTGTTTTCTGTTTTTTCAATGTTTGATTTCATACTGAATAGAGTATCTGGTACAATTATTTATATTTTAACAACATATTTCTATCCTTATATTTTCATATCTAAATTTTTAGCACTTCAAAGGATATCAGTAGTAGTAGTCATTTTTACATTATGTGAAAACAAAATTTCCTTTTTGCCACTCTCCTCTTCTCCATCCTCAACTCTGACCCCAAGCTAGCAGCTTCTCTTCAGAACTCTTCCAGATTTCTTAAGTAACTGGGTTCAGATATTAAAAAGAATGGGCCTCTTTTTACTTGAACTTTTGGTAAGTTCACATTTAGTGACTCTCCTCAAATGCTAGAGATGCTTAATCTTTCCAAAAATTTAGTACTTTATACTCACATGAACTAAAGTTGTTCTACGGGAATTGCATCTATAGTGGTCGTCACATTTTTATTCATTGGTATGTAAAGCAGAAAGGGGAATGAACAGCAGGAGGAACTTGTTGGCCTTAGCTGCCTTTCAGAACAAAGTTGGTCTCTTACTGAATACACAGTTCTACCATTAAGAGTTCAGTTTACTGAGGGACTAACAGTCAGAAGGGAGTTTCAGAATCCTTTTGTGAGCATGGACGTATATTCTGAGCAATGATATATTTGACATGTTAATATATTTCCTAAAACATACAGAAATTTCCTTCAAATCTGGTGACCTCAGACAAAATGATATTTTTATGTATTGTAAGAGTCAGCCCCAGGCTTACAGGTGAGGAGAGACAACGCAGGGATGCCAGAGTAGCAGGCCAGAAGAGCAGGGAAGGGGATAAAAGCCTTGAGCCCCAGGCTTACAGGTGAGAAAGGGGATAAAAGCCTTGAACCCGGACAGAAGAGCAGTCAGCCCCAGG